ATAAAAAAATAAAAACATTTTTTTCTTTTCAAAAACTAAAAAAAAATGAGGGTGGGCTACCCTCTCAGCTACCCTTATCAGTTAAGGGTATAAAAATAGATAACAACCTATTCTTAGACGTACTGAATATACATATAAAATTTTATCAAAATCGGTTAAGCCGTTTCGGAGGAGTACGGTAACCAAAACCACCCAAAACTGTAACATGAGAATTATATAGATGATATTATATGAAAACTGCGGAGTGCGGAGAGCGGAGAGCGGAAAGACTGATTATAGCAATAGATGAAATTTAAAACTATAATTTAAAACTATTCAAGAAGGTACATACAAAACAAGGCAACGCCGCGCGTCTGTTCGTTCAATTCCGAGCAAAATAGCGAGGCCCCACGAAGTTGGGGCCTCGCTCGCCAAAGCGAGGCCCCATCGACAGGTCAGATTTTTATGCGAGACGAGACTTCTAGGGTATTAAGATATTCTTTGGCTCCAGACACCGACATTAGTTTTCGTCTATCTCCTATAGAAAAGGGTGTTTCCATTTAAAAGCGTCGAATTTGACCCACCCTGTACAGGTTGCCCCACTAAGAATAGCTCTCGGCTGTATCTCGGAAAGTATTAGCCGTACGGCTTGCGGAAAAAAATATTTATAACTAGAGACTATAAGAAACTGCTAGAAATTATTTTCAAGTTTGTAGAACGGCCGCTAGAGGGCGCAACTGCTATAAAAAAATAAGAAAAAGGAGTTTTTACACAATTTTGCCTGGATAACGGGTACCATAAATAATAGTTTCATAATCTTCAGAAAATTTTGAATATTTTATGTTAGAACCATTTTTCAGTATCTGCCACAATAAAGTGGTGGGGGAAGGTTAGATCTGTTTTTATTTAAATATTAATAACTCCGGACTGGATGAGCGGAATCCAACAAACGGGGGCTCGTTTAAAAGAGCGTTTCTTACTCTATATTATACAGTATAAACAACAATAATAAGCTTTTGAATGTAGACGCTAGGGGAGCGCTGTTTTACAATTTAACAAACATTGCGCGATTTTTCAAAAAAATGAAATGCGATAGTTTATGTAATTTTAGCTGATAGCAAAGAGTAATAAAAGCTTAAAAAGTCAGCAAAAACCGTATCTTGATATCCTCTTTCAAACCGAAGATATTAGCAAAATTATAATAAATATGAAAAAATAAACCCTTAATTACCTTATTTTTATAACACGGTTACAGTAGCCCTCTTGATTATGACCATTCTAATTAAAAATAAGATAGAAACGATTAGTTTATTCTAAAATCAAATATATACCAGAATACCATAATACTAGATGTATTAATATCTAATAATTAAGACATCAATGACAGTGAATAAGAAACGACGCCTTAGTGAAGCCATGGTAGGTTTTGGAAAAAAGTTGCTTTTGACGAAGTAGTATAAACGTCAAAGTGTTATTAGATCAACATTTTGATAGTCTTAGCAGCGTTTTTTCTCTTTTGAACAAAGGAATTTTTATAAAAGCAATCAAAAGATAAAAACGCTCCTGAGGTTATCAAAATGTTGATAGAATAATATCACAGATTATACAGATTATAATCTTTGTTTTTTCTTTGTTGTTATTCGTGGTTCCAATTTTCGGAATCGGGCACTAGTTAGGTGACTAGTTTGCGCACATAGCACGCCCACTTATGGCCTCTAAAATTGTGCACAGCGCCTGACCCAAGACGCCTGACCGGCACAGTTATTAGAGAGATATCGGAAAACCGAATAGCGTCATGCAGTATTTACGCGTACCTTATCATGGTCAGTCATGGTTACTATATACGCGAGTCAATTTTTAACGCAACGCCCGCTAATAGCGTTACCGTCTGACGTAATTTGCGGATCAATTACACCAAGCGCTATTTCTAAATAACGTTCAAAAATTGCTTAAATGGGCATGTGCGGGTATTTAACAACCAGGGCTGGCCGGCGAGATCTTTTATTTTATATTATGTTTGAATTGTTTTGAATTATTACTTTAGTTTTATTAGGTAATTTGATATTTAAGTAGCTGGGATTAGTTTTAATTAAATAAATATGGCCCAAAATATGGATTCCACCTCTTCCAATATTAAAGAACCTATAAAGAGACTTAAGCCTTGTTCATGTGGACGTGAATCGCGAATTGCGATTTTGCGAAACTGCTCTCATTGGTCCAATTTTAATGATCATAGGTCTGTTCCCAGAAGAATCCCTGACTAGTCAACGCGTTTCTTATTGGTTGAAATGCGTAGAAACCTGACTAACAATCAGGTTTCTACGCATTTTAACCAATGAGAAACGTGCTGACTAGTCAGTGATTCTTCTGGGAACAGACCTCATGGCGGCGTTGTTAGAAATTTTAAGATTTTGGCGATTCGCAAAATTTAAAATTTGGGGGGCGGAAAAGCTAGAGTGTTTTCAACTTTTTGCGAATATTCGCACGATTTTAAGGTTCGCGTTTGCGCAGAATGGTGTTGTGATCGGTTATCGATTATTTTGACGACGCTGACAAAGTACAAAGTAACTGAAAGGATTTCTCCAGGTAAAATGGGTTCTCGTGCATATGTTTTTGATATATATGGTGACAATTTTTCAACCAAGTTATCAAACTCCTGTACAGACAATCTGTGAAAATCCCTAAATTTTTTCACATCTTTTGTCCTCATTTCTTGAATTAAATTGCGATAAGCACCCTTGTTGCTTACGAAATTTAAATATTTCACATGTAGGATTTCACCACCTCAATCGCTTTCCGCAATTCGCAATTCGCGTCTACATGAAACAAGCTTTAGGTTTACAGCAGATGACGACTTAGCCCTTCTAAGAGAATTGTTTGTTGCTTGTTGCTCTAAACCCACTGGCAGACGTTGAACAATAAAGCACTGGAAAGAAGCACTTTAGCCCTTTAGTTTTAAAATACCTAGTATACAAAACAATTTCAAAGTTAGGTTAAGTTTAATATATAACTATAAATGAAGAGAGTTAATACCACCTCACGTAAAGGAAATAACATCTGGCCTTATTAACGTCCATGCACGCTATTCGGTTTAGCGATATCTCTCTATTACGCTGTTTATTGTTATTTTACGGGAGTTTATTTTTGCCCACATGAAATTTGACTCGTTTGCACATCCTCATAAAAAACAATTTTCGTACCAGGAATTAAGGATGAGATTTTTATCTGTATACATATAGTATACTTAATCTGTGATAATACTTTGATGTTTAAACTATCCCTTTAAAAGCAACTTTTTTTCAAAGCCCAGCACGAATTCACTGAGGCGGCGTTTCTTGTTCACTGTCATTGATATCTTAATTATTAGATATTAATACATCTAGTATTACAGTATTATGGTACATTGTCGATTTTTTAAATAAAATATTTTTTTTATCTTTTTTTATTAGAATGGTCATAATCAAGAGGGCTAGTGATACCCTGTTAGAAAAATAAGGTAATTAATGGTTTATTTTTTCATATTTATTATAATTTTGTAAATAACTTTGGTTTGAAAAATCGCAATTATTACTTTTAAAGAGCAATTCTATAATAGTGTCCTTTTCAAAATTAATTACTCTAAAATAAGTTATAATAAAAGGTAAGTCAAGACTGGATAATGTATTTTTCTGAAGTAGTTCAAATGAACCAGGTTACTGAGAAATTCATAGTTGTAAACCCAGTGAGTTTTAATATAAAATAGATATTTTAAGTGTTCTTTAATTTAGTAACAATATTTCGCAGAAACTACCAAAAAAGTATTAAATATTTCTTACTTATATTGTTCCTTATTTGAACCACCTTCAATTTGCTTTGCCGGTAGCCCCTGTTGAAGCATCCTTACAAGTTCAGTCCAAAACTCATTGGCATCCTACAATATAGCCAAATAAACAAAACAATATTATTCAAATCTAAATTTCGCTGAACATACCTGCTGGGTATAACTGTCATGCTCATTTTTATCTGCAAACCTTGGAAATGCAACATGAAGAATGTGTAGAAATCTTACAGGTAAAACTGTTGATTCTTTATCCATAAGAAAATGCAAATCTCTTAACGAACCAGTAACTGCTTGAGATAATGAAGCGCCATCAACTGAAGACACCTCTACTGGAAAAAAAATTAACTAATTATAATTCTAAAAAAAAATCATATTTATGCATTTTTACCTCCTTGGTATGTTTGTAGAGATTCCTTTAATTCTGGCACAGTTCTTAAACACTGCACCGTGGCATTCATATAACAGGTATTGCCAAGATTTTTCAAACCACATGGTAAATCAAACTAAATAATTGTTTCCAAATAAAAATAGTAAAAATTATTGATTTACAAATAATACTTACTGCTGTGGCTAATTCACTTTCGTTCATGTCTTCTACAAAAACAGTTTTTTCAGCCGGTTCTTTAGGCACATCTTCCTCTTTGCTACCCATTAATAAAAGGGTGGCATTCTAAATTTGTAACAATTTCTATCACAATATAATTCACTGATAAATATCACCAATACTTACATCTTTAATATTAAAATTACTCCAACCATCATCTTTCAAAGTAACACCTTTGATCATCACTTTTTGTCTTTCAGGGAGTACTCCTGTTAGGGTAAAAATTTGAACCTTAAACAGCATCGGCGAATCATCCGTATTCACTTCCACGGGAAATACATCCTTTCCCCATTTAACTTTCACTAAAACAATACAAATAAATAATACAGACAATGTTAAAAAGTTAAAAACATTTGCGGCAAATGAATTTAAGGTTAGTAATAATTTAATCACTTTTACAACTTACCTTTATATACAGGCATTTTACTTCTTTATGGACTAACTAAAAAATAGTTATAAAAGTACAAAAGAATATATTTTTAATGTGTAAAAGTTGGATTATTTTGTTTAAAAGAAATACAAGTCACTCTGACATGAAAAATGTTGCTTTTTAAAATGACAAATGACAACAGAGACAGAGACGTTTGACTAACAAAGTAAGTTGTCAAAAATCAGTGTGACCAACATTAATGGGAGTTTAAAAATTTAATAAAGTTATTAAACAAATTTTAGAATCATCTTCTGGAAGTTTTAACTTTTAAAAAGAGCTGATGTTTAAAAAATAATATTACTATTTCAATTTACTATAGTTTATCTCAAATTAATTAAATAAAATGTTATAGATTATTTATTTTCTAATCGATACTACCAATAGACAAGTGAAAGTTACTAAAATTGACCGTTCCCTATTTTTTCGATATTTGGAGGTTGACGGGAAAGATATGGATATCAAGTTGTTTTTGTTTCCCACACAACGTATTTAGTTAATTTCGGACACTATTTTTTCCCGTCGTCAAAGTCGTTAAGGGTGGTTGTGATGTTCTTTTGTTGTGACAGTTGATAGTGCGAGAAAACTAGAAAATGGGAAATTGTTTTAGCAACCCATCGAGTACGGATAGATCCGAAAGAAATAGGGAAAGGGCAGTCGTAATTGAGGACAATATCCAACCGGCAAATCCTATCCCAACGTCGCCCCCCTCGGAAGTGGCCAGACCACCGGTGGTCAGCCCCGAACCTGAGCAACCTAATGCTCGAATGTTTGTTGCATTGTATGACTACGATGCCAGAACTGATGAGGACTTGAGTTTTCGTAAGGGTGAACTTTTAGAAATATTAAATGATACACAGGGTGACTGGTGGTTGGCGAGGAGTAAAAGGACGAGACAGGAGGGCTATATTCCTTCGAACTATGTGGCTAAGTTGAAGAGTATCGAGGCAGAACCGTAAGTTTTTTTACATTTTTGTTCTATTTAAAAATTACCAAGGATCTATTTGCATGACAGCGATAAGAGAGAAATTTTATCAAGTTTTAACTTCAGAGCTATTGTTAAGTCAGTGATACAACTTTGTGGTAAGTAAATATAATTTACTTTCACAGATAAGGTTTCATAAATTACCATACCATAAGATAATATCTATTCTAGGAAGATACAATGTTTTGCAGTAGGGAATGATATAAAATAAGGAATTTTGATTACTTTTAAAACAGAATATTTATTGGAGTTATATATAAAAGATAAAAGTTTAATCAAAACATACACAGGAACTTTATGAAGTTGTTTATTTTATCAGATATGAGTTATATGATATGATAGGTGATAGGTATTAATTGTTATGCGCCAAAATGAGTTACCACTATTTCAATAGCTCATATAGGCGTGTACTTTTTATTAATTTATGTTGGTCTCTTTACCATATTTTGTTACCTACTCCTACAAGGTTTGTTTCAGTTATAGAATATTAATTCTACCATTGTTACAGTAAGAGAATTTTAAGTTATTGAAACCCTTGAAATTCAGTATAATCAGTTAATATAACTTCTAATGTTATATTTCAATTGTTCTAATCCTTTATACCATTGTTATTTTATGTTTAAAATTGAATGAATAGGTTACATTATTCTATTTTATGAAAAAAACACATTCTTTCAAATAAAAACTAATTATTGAATAACATTGTCTGTTTTCAGTGAATAGAAATAAATGGAATTTGTTTGGTATCTATTTTGTACGAATTACGTAATTCCATTGGCGTAACATTGATACTGTCCTCAGGGTTTTGAGTTAATTTATTTTTCTGCTAAAACATTATACTTTTATTTTTATATTACCTATCTATAAAAACTTGTTAATGGTGCTGGATTTCATTTACAAATTGTAATAGGCTTTTTTATTTGTCTCTACTTTAAGCTGAGACTGATATTATTGAAAGAAATAATTATATGTTATATGCAATTATTATCTAAGCGTGTGCAATTTGTATATTGTTAAAACTGAATAGAAAAATTATACAAAGTTATGTGGTTATAATTAATTATTTTATATGGAACAGGGTCGGACTGTGTATTATACCAAGTATTGTACCTATATTTATTTTGGTTGGCTATAAAATTGTTCAAATCTTTTTTATTTTGAAATCAACCCTATGTATATTATTTAAAAAAATCTATAAGCAAGTAAAATTGCTTTTCAAGGATATATCGTTGAATAAAAGAATTAGGAAGATGCGCAACCTAACGGGCAAATTTGTGACAAGGCTTATTTGATTTCCCCTACTTTTTACTTCTCAAGTGCTGTGCGGTGGAGCCTCCACTCGTTTTGCGGCCAACGCATAAAATACTCATTTTCTCTAATCGAAAACGGTGTGGAACTGAAAGCGACAGTGTTGCCATATTAAAATGTGTAATATCTGTAATACGTTTGACGAAAATATCTTTGGATGAAAAATCTGCGCGTTTACGTCTCGAAAATTTACTCGTGTTAGACATAGAATAAACTACAAAAATCAAATGTCGTATGATCGAAAAAAGTCGTTTAGTTGGCTTAGAAATTACGACTATTGACATTTACCATAATATTTTACATATGAAATAACAGCGATTTTCATTTCCAAGTCAACTCTGACGCCGTTCGTTGTTTAATCATATTATATACTTAATGTTAAATTGTTTAATGATAGAAAATCCGTATTATTAACGTACTGTACCCATAATCCGTAAATCTACGGATTAATTCGTAGTTCTGGCAACACTGTCTCCGGCAACCGCCCACTCTGTCGACCGAAAGCAGAACTACGGTACAGTATTCTTTATCCGCTGCGCTGTAAACGACCATCAGCGCGTAGCGGCGCAGAGCTAAATAAATCTCGAAATTCTCGGACAGGCTGATGGTAACGCCAGCTACATCTCGGACAGTTTTTGTGCCACGAAATCGCCCATAAGGTTACGCGTCTTCATATTTCTTTAATCAACGGTAAAACGAAAGACTCAAGGGAGTTCTCAAGTGTTATGCAAAACTAGATGTTTTCTGAAAATTTGAACTAATCAGTAAGTATTATATTATAAAACAAAGCATTTATTAATGCTTTGTTATTAATCACTCATATTTATTTTAATTTTTAATTTGATTTTTAATATGATTAAATATTTTCCGAAATAGATACAGGGTGAGTTTCCTACGATGTTCTCTATGGGTATCTCGGAAACTACTGGAGATAGAGAGTCAGTTAAATGGGGAAAGAATTGCAGTTTTATGGGGTCATAAATATGCGCCTTTCAGATTTTTGAAAAAGTTCATATTCATCACTAGATATTTCGGAAAAAAACAAATTTTGGCTGTAAGGCGCATATTTATGACCCCACAAAACTGCAATTCTTTCCCCATTTAACCGACTCTCTATCTTCAGTAGTTTCCGGGATAGCCATAGAGAACATAGGAAACTCACCCTGTATAAATTAAAATTAGTGAATAATGCGTAAATAAGATATGGGAATTTAAGATAACAAATTAGGAAGTATTTTGTGAAATCTAGAGACATATTCTATCAAATTACTGTTATGAAATTTTTTGCTCTATTTTTTTTGTTTGGCATTGTTAAATATAAGGTAATAGGATCTTAATTCTATAACATTTCTACTGTCCAAAAAAAAATTTAATAGGCGCTCAGTTGGCACTGACTAGGCTTGGCAAAACTAGCCACGCGAATCAAAACCAATCGAGCATAACAATTAATTACCGAAACTAGAGCAATAGGAACAGAGAACTGGAAGGAATTGGATTAGTTGTAATTTATTATTACCACTATACATAAGTTTATATTTGACATTCTTAAAAGTTATTTTTAAACCACGGGATAACTCTCTTTCAAACAGTATTGAAATATATTTTGACGTATCTTTCTCCACTTGAAAAGTCGAATTTGCAGAAAAAATACAGAGTATCTGAAATCAGAAATTCCGAATTGTTTTTGTCAAACATAATTTCTACTGTAGAAAATTTCTGTTGATTAGAATCAGGGTCTCCGCTCTTAGTCCGTCTCTGTAAAACCGTGACGAAATACCTAGTTCGTAATTAAATCAGGCGTTTATTATTCTTTTACCTACATATATCAATATCCTTTCTACTGTATCTTGCATTGTAACTCAGAGCGATAGAAACCTAAAACTATTATTAGTAAAAACTCTGAGGTAAAAATAGTCAGTCTAATAAATATTTTTCAAGCAATAATAACACTATTGACAATTTTAGAATCAGACTAGCGTGTACCCGCGACTTCGTTCGCGCCGAATTAATCATTTGTAATGGTGATGATAAAGCAAAGCAAGAATTTCCATTATCATACAAACCGGATAACAGTTTCTCACATTTACTTTGAGGGGTAGTTTCATCTCGTTGGAATTTGACTTTCGAAAAATCCGTTTGCCAAAAATAAGCTTTTTACGTCAAGCAGTTTAAGCAGAATCGTGGTTAAGAAACTACCCAACTTTTTGGAACACCCTGTATGATTTTTTAAAAAATTTCAAAATAGTCCAAGTTCAAAAGTGTCCAAGCGTTTTCCTGAAAGACTAACCATTTTTTAAATAACAAATATTGTAATATTTGAGTGGCGTTTTCACCCTCTTTGAATATGAGATTCGAGAAACCCCTCCTTATCGAACCTCTACACCCCACATCAATCCGTTTGCCAAAAATCAGCTTTAAACGTCGAGCCGTTTAAGCAGAATCGTGATTACTCAATGGTCATATTTTATGAAACACCCTGTATAAATTTTTAAAAATCTTAAAATATGTAAAACAACAAAATAAAATATGCGTGTTTAAGAGTTTTCCGAAAACTCACCGGTTTTTGAATAAAAAATATTCTGATATTTGAGGGGTGGTTTTACCCCCTTAGAATTTGAGTTTCGACCTCTACACCCTAAAGTCAATCCGTTTTTCAAAAATCTTTTATGCAGGATCGTGATTAATCAAAGACCAGATTTTTCGAAGCACCCTGTAGACATTTTTAAAAAATCTTAAAATATGTAAAAAACAAAATAAAATAGTATACGTGTTTAAGGGTTTTTTCGGAAACTTGACCGTTTTATAAATCAAAAATATTGTAATATTTGAGGGGTGGTTTCACCCCCTTGGAACTGGAATTTCGAAAAATCCCTT